TATCCAGAAAAAATATATGATTATCTTATAAAAATTTTATGTTTTTTGTAGAGTTTCATAATTATTTAAAATTCTTAAACCAGATGAGACAGTTTCAATACATGTATTGTTTTATACATTTTATTTTAGTTTTTTATTATTATTATTATTTCCTTTCCATTAGCACTGCGTTATAAATTATGGCGCTACTCCCTCGAGAGGTACACCATCTAGCGTTAATTGTATGAGTAACAGTACGTCTGTGTATATAATAGTTCGTCAGCTGATTGTACACGACGTAACCTCCCATAATCTTTATTCTTTGATGTAAATAAATAATTAGAAATGGATCATTGGTCCAAAAACCAGTTGCGTGTAAACGGAGGAGAGTTTGTTCATAAAAAAAATTAGACAAAATTGTTTGAGGAAATAAGGGTATACGTCCCAAAACCATTAAGACAATGGAGACTAAGGAGAAAAAGATTGAGCCCTGCCTGCCAGAGGGAAAAGTTTCATTCAAAGGACGTCAGATCGTAGATATAGACATTCTCGCCAGAAGTTTGTTTTGTTCACATTGTACCAAACGAATTTTTTTGGAAAATATTGTCAAGGAGCAACAGCATGGTGTATCATCCACTTTTAAAATCAAGTGCTTAAAATGTTGTGCTATAAGAAATGTCAAATCTGTCAAAGAACACCAAGTCTCAGCAGAGCTGATTCCACCCCGACAATGAAAGGAAGTTGTGAATCAAAGTGTCACCAACAAGATGTTGGTTCTTGGTAATAAAAAAGTCATATCTGTCATTAAATGATTGTCATAATTTCAATATTTTTAATAATATAGGTAGCATAGAGGCAAAAATTGGCTTCAGAGGGTTGAATCGGCTTTTAGCATATTTAAATATACCGTCAATCGACCACAAGTTGTACGCAAGATATTTGACTTCTGTTAGAGCTGCAATAACAAAAGTTGCCGAAGAAAGTTGTGCTGAAGCAAGACAAGAAGAACGCCGGTTGGTTATTCAAAATATGAAAGACCTTCGTATGGAATTGTGAGTTTCAGAT